TCATTCAGTTGCAATTTTTCTATAAAGAGGCCTTCCCACTACACACAATGATGTATATAATAACATGGTGATTTCATTTTCAAGTTATAACTGGCTAATAGCAACACTTGTTCTGATTAAGGCTGTGATCAGTATGTGAAAGCGGATATAGTGTCCAGTTGAGGATGAAATGTCGGGAACAGAAAAGGAGGAAGGGCTCAGGAGCTGCTTCTTCTTTGTGGTTGTGGCTAAGCCTGGTCCTGCCTCTGCATGTCTGAGGCAGGAGTACAAATTCACAGGCACTTGCTGCTTCTCTCACGGTCCTCTTCCTCCCTATGTAGGGGAACATGGCATCTGTTTTCAATCTGGAAGCATTTCTCCCACACAGACTCTCTTGTAGAGACCTAATTTGTTCTCCAGGCATCACTGCTGTTTCTCTGAAAATGATTTTCAAATTTTCTATCCTTTGTAGCCTTGAGAAAATTTTCTATGTTTAATCACTATTTCTCTATGTTAATATGTCACACCAAGCAGTCACTGTCTGATACTGAATTGTATCTACTTCACTAATGAATGGACAATTACCTGTAGCCAGCTCCAACTACTCTCCTGTGTTTCAAGAACATGACTATTATTGATGGGCAGCTGACACTGGAATGTTGTTGGAATCACGAATGGATGCCTCTAATTGAACCCAACATTTTCTTTCTCAAGTCAACTGGCCTCTGCCCTTTCTTGCATTTGCCAACATCAGTATTCCCTGCTTCCTGTGTTCCAGGGTTGGGCATGGTCTTCAACTCCTTTGTCTTACATTCTCACTGAATCTAACCAATAAGACAGTTCCTATTCACCTGGTGGAACACCCCATGTCATTTCTTCTTCCCTTCCACTATTCTTTGACACTGTCCTCTACTTTACTTACAGTCGGGTACTTCCATCCAAACTCTAGGTTCCTTCGTCAGCACATCATCAAGGACATGGAAGACCTTTATGTGGCTCTTCATTAAGCTTATATTGTTTATCAGAGCTTTTCCGCATTTATTTTTGTATTGACTATGTTATACTTTAAGGAACTATCATGTAGAAGTCCAGTGTGTAAGAAGCCAATCAAGACATTTTCTGGCTGAAGATGGACTACAGGTAACCCAATCCCCTTGCCTTCCCTTAGCTTTTAAGGCAAATAACTGGAATTTAAGAGGTTCATGGAGACCATTGGGAAGCACAGACTGAGAGAACAGAGTTACATGGCTTGGAATCATACCATATTTTCTTCAAAGTTCTTTAACAATTGCTGTTATTAGTCTACGTGAGTCTTCAAGCCTAGCCACAGAAATTCTCAAAATTTAAATGTGCCGTGTCAGTCTCTCATCCCTGCCTGGCTTAGTGGTATTTTTGCTGACTTGAGCATCTGGAATTCCATTCACACATCTTGGTCAATCTAAACCTTACTTAGCTCTGTTTTTACCCCTTTGTAAGGCACTGCTGCGTTGTTCCAGATCTGGGCATTTTTTCTTTCTTTAAAATCCGGTGATATTCCTCTATTTACACTTAGCCTGTACTGTCTCAAACCTTTGCTTTTTGGTTGTGCATTCAATTTCTCCCACTTAGATAATAGAGTAGCTATAGGAAATTCAAATCTTTTATGAATTTTAGTCTTCAGCCTCTAGTGTAATATGCTACCAACAGCAATTGCATAGTTGTTTATTTTGAGGATAGCACACAGTAGGAAATACTACCTAGACACCCATCAGTCTCATTTGCAGAAGTCTAAGCTTCCAAAGCCATACTTGTAAGATGGAAGAATCTGCCCCTCTAATTTAATGGCAAAAAAGACTTTTTTCTTCAATTATCATTAAGCTAGCTTCTCCGGAAATATCTAATTAATAACATTAGAAGCAGATTTGGGAAATCATAAGAGGTGGGTGCAAGGGGGTTCTCTTAGTTTAGATCAGAAGTAGTGTGCTCTCAGCAGACACATAGAAATCCTACTCAAAACACAATAAGAAACATATTCGTATATACATCAAATGACACCATTTTACTTTCTGTGTGTTTTAACTTTGTATGTGTGCATGATGTGTGTGTGTGTGTGTATGTGTGTATGTGCATGTACACTGCACATATGTATACCATGGCACACATGTGATAGTCAGAGGACAACTTGGGGGAATCAGTTTTCCACTTCCACCACATGGGTCTTTAGGATCGAACTCAGGACATCAAGCTTGGTAAGGGCAAGTGCCCTTACTCACTGAGCCAGCTTGCTGGCCCTCTAGCTTAGTTTTTGAGACAAGATCTCTCATTGAACCAGGAGCTTACTGACTGCCTAGATTAACTGGCCACGAGCTCCAGGGAGTCTCCTGTCTTGGCTTCTCCAGTGCTGAAATTATCAGCGCATGCTGCTGCCCCTGACGTTTTTTAAATGTGGTTTCTGGGGCTCTGAACTTAAGTCCTCATATTGAGCCTCAGAAATGTTTCACACTCAGCCATTCCCTCCCCTTTCACTTTACCTTGAAAACACTTAAATTTCTGAGCATGCTTTAAGACCTTGTATGTTTTGGCCCACTCCACTTCTCTATCTGAATCTCCACCACCCTCTCCACTTACCACTTCCTGGCCACAGAAGCAGGTTCTCAGTTCCCTGGATACTCCTACCATGACACACCCCTCCTTCTGGCTTCCTATGGCTAGCATCCTAGGCAGCATGGGCCTTCTGCTTTTCTCCTTGATCAATTCCTGTTATTGTCTGAACCTCCCTCAGAGTCCTAGAACAAGTTAAACACCTGTGTTTTGTGTTCCTAAATCCCTTATTATGACTATAAATGTGTACTGTGACTTTGTTTTGTGTCTGTATTCTTCTTTCGACTATCATTACTGTGGGCTATAAAATTTTAGTGCTCAGAATAAAGCCCAATGTATAACATGTGCTTGAATGATTAAATAAACACACATTTTATGCATGACTTTCTTATACAACTTTCAGAGAATAAATCATTCTGTTATACATATCCAGAACTTAATTCTTCTTCTTGCTCTGGTCTAAAGGGACATGAGCTATATTTTCTAGTTCATGTGATTCACATGAAGTCTGTGCACAGTAGGTTTTATAAATAACTTCAGCTTTCATAAAAAATAACCCAAATAACCAAAAGTTGTGCAACAAAAATCTTCACTTACTGCCAAACAGCATTCAAACAATTTAAATTATTCTGGGTAATACAAACAGTATAAAAATATCATTTTGTTTCCATTTACCACATAAGGAAAATGCCTATGATAATGAATAGTCCTCTAATTATTTTCAACATTAAATTATCTTTAAAAACACATGCTTTGGGGTAAACAAAGAGAAGAAAACAGTCTCATTGCTATGAGATGCCACACATTAAAATCATCAGAGCAGCAACATCAGTTAAAGTGAAAGTGGTCCCCTTCCCCCTTCCCCAAGACTCTGACACCTACCAACAAGCTCATGACCTGTATCCCTCTCCTTTCAGTCTTGAGTTACCCTGCTGAGTCAGACAACTGAAGAACAAATTACAGTCAACAGCAGAAGAGATTTTTCTGATGCAAAATTCTGACCTTAAAGAACCTCTGCCCTGAATATCTTCTGTCAGGTTGCTGCTAATTCAGCAAATTCGAACTGAGCAGTTCATACATGCTCTCTTATGTCACCATCATTGTTTTAACTAGAATATGTGCAACATTCAATGGCATGGCCCATCTCTTTTCCAGAATGTCATGAATTAAAAGGAAGAGGAGAAGAAATCCAAGTCTATACAGTTTTATACCCATGGATTCTTTTGCATTACGCCTATGTTCATTTCTTTTTCATTTATCATCTTATACTCAGTCACATAACAGTATAGATAAATGCCATGTGGTGAGGGAAGTCTGCAACACACACCTAGTTCACAGGAGAAAGCACTGGATTTGGGTGACATCAAGTCTTTCTCTATAGCTACTGACCTGCACACTTCAAAATTATCAGACCCATTGTCATAGATGGCAGGAGGCTTCTGAGCAGAGCTCTTCAGCTGGAGCCCTGTAGCATCCACACACTTGTCACCGTCTCTAGTTGCCAGTATTTTACTGTTAGAATCCATTTCTGAACATCTTTCCTTGATTGTTTTCTTAGGCCTAAGTGTATGCAAGGGCTGGGAATCCCCGTGGCAGTATCTGCCTTTGTTCTCCTCACGGCTCTTCAAGGGTCTCTTCACCTCAAAGACCCCCTGGCAGGGGAGGACTGCAGTCTCAGTACCTTATGACTTTTCCTCTGCAAAGGTTTAAAGAGCAGCCCTCACATTCTGTCAGCTCTTGCTGCTGTTCACCTTTGGATCCCAGATCAACAAGTTCAACTCTGTTAGGAGTAGAAGACCCAGCCAAGCTTTCACACGGCTTATTATTATTTCTCCTTCTTCAAGACAGCCTGAATTTAACCTGGGCTTGCCTTTTTGCCTGAATCCAGTGGCTCTCATCTGTAGAAGATGAATCTGAGGAGTCTGTATAAACTTCTCTCCACCTGGGGCTTGCGAGCTGCAGGTGAAAGTCATTTCTTCTCCCTTTTGTTTGTGCCTCTGTGTGCTCCTGTCTCTCAGAGGCCCTTCTCCTTCTCCTAGGCTCCTGCCTTACTGCTTTCTTACCCGATTCCTTCCTAGCAGGGCTCAGCACCATGACAGGGGTGCAGTGCTCAAATGCATCTTCTGACATATCATGCAAGATGGCAGATCTAGACAAGGCAGCAGGCAAAGGATGGGCATGGGAATGGAGAGCAAAGTCATGGGAAAACAGAGAGAGAGAGAGAGAGAGAGAGAGAGAGAGAGAGAGAGAGAGAGAGAGAGATGAAATGATAGCATGATCAGAAGCTTGCAAATAAAGGTTAACTGAAGAAAAACTGAAGAGGAAATCTTAATACAGTGCACACTGTCCACAGAAGCAGAGCTGCAGATTCTCAGAACATGAAACAAAAGTACAAAACACTGCTCTAAGAAATAGAATAGGATCATTTGCCCAGGACTTACCTGCAGATGTCCTGAGTAGATGGACAGACAGACAACTTTGACTGGCTCCTGGGAGCTGTCCCTGTGGTAGGGCTGCTTGCCTGGAGAAACAAGTTAGATAGTTTGGCATCTTGATTAAGGTAATACATGGTCGATATCTTGTTTTTTTTCCACATATTTAAAAAATTACAACAAACGTGGCTGCCGGTCATGTTGTTCATAATGTAGCTCAGCAGAATGTAGGAAGTCAGAGGGTTCGTTTTGCAAAAGTAAAACTTATTTGAGGAACTTGGGACAGCTGATATGCTACACCACTCTGCCGTTGCTTCATTTGTGAGAGGAAGATGATTCCACAAGTTTCTATTCTATTTACTATAAGCATTGGGGTGGAATAGCTCAATTTGCCTGGGAAACGAGTAACACTTAAAGACGACGTGAAGTAAAGGGCTGCAAGGCATGAGGAGGGTGACACTGGGCTGGTAAATCGGAATGATCAAACAGTCAACAGATTGCTAGATATGGCACTGAGTTAGCATCAAGGTCCTGTGAGATAATATGTTTGAAAACACTTTGAAATATTTAAAATCTGACAACTACTGCTGCGATGATTTCATTACTGGGGTCAATGAAATCTATCCTTTAGCACACTGTTACCCTTCTATTTTTATTCCAGTGACATGCAAAGTTTGAGGAAAAGAGCTTGAAATGAATCAGATGATTAAAACAAAATTAAGTACATTTCACTAATTTTTTTCTTTTGAAACATCAACATTTCTCTACTGCATTTGACTTTTTCAAAGTCTTGTGTCTAATACAGACAGTTATGAGAGATTAAACGATAAATGTATTGATTTATTGTGTGAATTGCACTGTGGATTTATCTACTAGCTCTAATTTAAAACTTTATTTACTTATTTTTAGCCTATGTGTATGGGTGTTTATCTGCATGTATGTAAGTGTACTATATGCATGTGGTGCCTGCAGAGGCCAGAAAAGGTTGTTGAATCCTCTGGATCTGGAGTTATAAACAGTTGTTAGCTGCCATGTAGGTGCTGGGCTCTCTGCAAGAACAACCAGTGCTCTTACCTGCTAAGCCATCTCTCCAGCCCCTCCATAGCTAATCTTTACAATAATTTAACACATGGGAAATAATAATTTATAGTTTTGATAGATTACATGCCAATCATTATTTAAAACCATTTCTGTACATTCAATTAACACAGTAAGTCTATGTAGTAAATACTGTAATTATTTCTATGTTACAGTTGAGAAACTGGGATGGTTTCTTGTTAACAGGCCAAAGAGCAAACACTTGGACCAAGAATCTAGCTTTTCCCTCTGTCTCCTAATCTACCAGCAATGCAGCTTCTCCCAATTTGAACAAGAGAAAACCAAAGAAGTTATAGGCTCAGATTTAGGCCTGGCTGACTGCACAGGCAAAACACATAATTTTATTACTAAGAAAACAACACTAAGAGTAGAAAGTGAATTTCAAAGTAATTCTTAAAACTCTCATGTTAGAAATATGGAATATTGTTCCATACTCATGATTATGGGATCTAGAACCAGGGAAACTAATTCTAATTCAAGAGGTAAGAAAAAATATTGTAGGAAATTTGTGTGACAGGAGAAAATTGATACCCTAGAGATGTCGACATCCTGATCTCTGCATATTTACCCCCCGCCTCGACCCTGGCTCTCTGACAGGAAATCATATAGCCCAGGTGGTCTTGAGCTAGCGCTGTAGCTGAATATGACCTTGAATTTCTGATCTCGCTCCTCCCTGCCCCAAGTTCTGGGATTATGGGAATGTACCACTACAAAGAATTTCTAATCTCTGGATCATTTGGTATGTTTCTTCCATGACGAAAGAGTTCACATATGTGATTAAGGATCAAGTTAAGTATTTTGATGTGGGGAGATTTTACTGAATTTTCCCAATAGACTCAGTGTGATCATAGCATCCTAATAAGGGGGAGGCAAAAGGGTTAAGATCAGGTACAGAAAATGAAAACCCCAGACGTCAGATAGGAAGGAAGATTCTGTACTGATGAATGGGGAAGTAAAGGGATGAGGCTCTGGACCAAGGAATGCAAGTGACCTGGATATGCTAGAAAGGGTAGAAAATGAGTTCTGCCCTAGTTCCTACAGAAGAAACATGACTCTGTTGACGCCTTGATTTTTATCCCAGTGTGATATATATTTTGTTTTTAACCACTAGACCTAAAAGGTAATAAACTTGTATTGCTTAAAGCTGCCAAGTTTTGGGTAACCTTATACAAGTCATTGAAAAGTTACATAGGTATAGATACTTCCTCTAATCTAAAAAGGCAAATAGCAGTTATTAAAGAAGACATGCAAATACTCAGGTGGAGAAAGGACAGGACTTGGAGCATGATCTCATATCCTGATGTGCAACTGTACATTCTTGATTTACAAGTTTTATCACCTCATAAATATGGTATATTTTTGGAGTCTTTGAATGTCTTTGACTATCAGT